TTCTTTTTAACTGTGGCCACCCTGTGTGCTGAGACTCCTATGGGCATACTCAAGATCACGTAATGTAGTTGATCTAATGCAGATGTTAGAAGCTACTTTTCATGCAATAGTAGTTCGAGACCAAGTTCATACAAACAGTGGATTTCTAGGGCTGAAGAATTTTGAACGATGTTGGACAGGATGGGGTGGGGAAGAGAAGGAACACATGTTTGAGTGTTCACATACATATATGGGGAGTTATAAATTGAGTGTTCAATGTGCTTAACAGCCAGGCATTGTGCACATCCACCAAGCCTCATGGAGAATGCGTATATATTCTGTCAATGAGGAGGGAACTGTGCATATGTCTCCGTCAATATACATAATCTCCAACAGGCCTTGGTTAATGTAGATATCTCCAGAGCATTGTATACATTCTTCAACCATTCTGCATAATCTCAATAAGACTTTGAGGAATGTGCAACATGAAATTATTTTTGTGTAGTGTTTTATTGATTTGCAAATCTGCACTGGCTCATCAGTACCACTAAGAAAGAAAGAAAAAGAAAGAAAGAAAGAAAGAAAATATTGATATCACATTGTGTATACAGTGGTACCTCGGGTTACATCCGCTTCAGGTTACATCCGCTTCAGGTTACAGACTCCGCTAACCCAGAAATAGTGCTTCAGGTTAAGAACTTTGCTTCGGGATGAGAACAGAAATCGTGCTCTGGTGGCACGGCAGCAGCAGGAGGCCCCATTAGCTAAAGTGGTGCTTCAGGTTAAGAACAGTTTTAGGTTAAGTACAGACCTCCAGAACGAATTAAGTACTTAACCCGAGGTACCACTGTAGTTAACTTAAGCATGGTTTCTTGTGACCTGAGTGATTATAGACAAATTGGGTATTAATTATCACAGCAAAAAATATGCATTTAAATATACACTTTAAGAGAATATGCACATTTGAAATACAGCTTCAAGAGAATATATATATATATATATATATATATATATATATATATATATGGAACGGAATGGGATTATGGATAAAAACATGTGAAAGTGACACAGTCTAGAAACAGGCAGATCCATGCATCCACCCCAGTTCATAAGAACTGTGTATGCACAAAGTTTGGAAATGAAAAAATAGAACAATAAAGAATTACTAAAATATCAATTCCACTTCAGAATATGGAATGCCAAAATCCAGGTCAAAATTCTGATGTGGAGAATTGTGGAAGCATCCTTAACCATATGACTGACCATTGCTAAGACTTTCTTGGCTGATGTAAATTTTTTCCCTTCACTTGTGTCCTTTGCGAGAAGATAGCCAAGTTTTTAGTACAGTGGCTTGACTGGCTGTTGCCTTGGTAACACAGCACCAGCAAAATATGTCCCCTGTCCACAGAGAGAAAATGTGGAACAGATATAGATACAGATATAGATATAGAAACAAATTAGTCCTTAAAGGTATCCTCAACTTGAAACCCATCAGGTTGCCTTTTAATAGCTGGGCTTGAGGAACAATAGAATGTGAGACATGTTTTACATATGTTGCTTTATAAGGATATTCTTGAAGGTTTGATACAGAAACTTTGGTTCAATAGTAAACATTATTTGCTATGTGCTCTTGTTTCTCATTTTAGAACAAAACACTTCTCCATTGGCTGTTGCTGTTTCTGGATGCTATTGACCTACTCCATCCTTCCATTTCCTTATACATTTCCATTTTTGCTAGCTAGAAGGCCAGATTTTAATGCCTCTTTTAGTCTGTGGCTATTTTACCAAAGGGATTCAACTGCGTAATTAAAGTAGATTGGTCACTCTTGTGCAACTACAAGGGGAGGCAATCAGGAATGGGACCACAACGACACATGGGCAGTGAGGCTTAACTCTTCCCCATCAGTGCCACAGTCCCAATGTCCATTTATGAACTTAGCTTAGGAATTTTTAAGAACATAATGAGAGCCCCCTGGGTCATGCCACTGGCCCATCTAGTCCAGCACTCCCCCCCCCACAGTGATTAACCAGATGCCCATGGGAAACCTGCAGACAGAATCTGGGAGCAGCATTACTCTTCCTATTTATGTTCCTAGCAACTGGTATTCAGAGGCATTCTGCCTCAGCCTGGCAGAACATAGCTATCATGGCTAGCAGCCACTTATAGCCTCATCCTCCATGAAGGATTCCAAGTTGGCAGCCATCACTACCTCTTAGGGGACCAAATTCCATATTTTATGTGTTGTGTGAAGAAGTACTTTCTTTTGCCTTTCTTGAATCTGCCAAAATTTAAAGGTCCGTATAGTAAAAGCTATGGTTTTCCCAGTAGTGATGTATGGAAGTGAGAGCTGGACCATAAAGAAGGCTGATCGCCGAAGAATTGATGCTTTTGAATTATGGTGCTGGAGGAGACTCTTGAGAGTCCCATGGACTGCAAGAAGATCAAACCTCTACATTCTTAAGGAAATCAGCCCTGAGTGCTCACTGGAAGGACAGATCCTGAAGCTGAGACTCCAATACTTTGGCCACCTCATGAGAAGAGAAGACTCCCTGGAAAAGACCCTGATGTTTTGAAAAATGGGGGGGCACAAGGAGAAGGGGACGACAGAGGACGAGATGGTTGGATAGTGTTCTCGAAGCTACCAGCATGAGTTTGACCAAACTGCGGGAGGCAGTGGAAGACAGGAGTGCCTGGCGTGCTCTGGTCCAATGGGGTCACAAAGAGTCGGACACAACTAAATGGCTAAACAACAACAACAACAACAGATGGCCTTGAGTTCTTGTATTATGAGAGAGGGACAGTTAGCTCAGTTGGTTTGAGTGTAGATAATGCCAAGGATGAAGAATTGATCCCTATATGGGTCACCTTCATATTCCTACATTGCAGGAGGTTGGACTAGAAGACCCTCGGAGTTCCTTCCAATGCTACAATTCTATGATTCCAGGGAGGAATTCTTTTCTCTTTTCAGTTTCTTCAGACCATTCTGAATTGTGTGTGCCTCTGTCTGTTCTCACTCATCTTTTCTCTAAACTGAAATGCCCCAAATATTTTTCTAGATAACTTTTGCTCTAGAAAACTTTTATCAGGATCAAGTGGAGGTGGAAGAAAAGGTTAAGCTTGCTTTTAACATGCTATGGTCCAATCCACTTTGCAGCTGCTGTTTTAATTTAAATACACATTGCATGCAACCACACATTTAACTCTAGTTTGGCCCTGACACTCCTAGCTAAGATACAGGGGAAGCGCTTGAATGCTTCCCTGATTTTTAATATTTTTTTAAAAACTGAAAAGCAGCCAGGGAAGGCTGCCAGTTTCTGCACAGGGACAGCTGTGGGAAGGGGTTTCCAAACCATTTCCGTCTTACTGTTGTCTGCTCAAAAGCAGCCACCTACATAGCTTTGACACTTATGGGGGCAGAGGGAGAGCAGATATGGGTCAGTAGTGCTGCAATCAGGCAACTTTAGACTCTTGCAGCACAATCCAAACTCAAGAGCCAGGAGGAAGAGGTAGCTTTGGTGGCTCTTTTTTTTTAATGTTCACATCCACCTTTAATTGACAATAAGGACATGAACTGTGGAGGAAGAGTAACAGTGGAACAAAAATATGTTTCTACTGGTCTTTTAACTCCTTCAGTCTTCTGATGGCATATTTCACCATCCCCGCTGAAGTGGTGTTGTATGTCCAGGCACCACCAGCTACTGTTTTCATACAAGAGCCACAGTGCCAGATACCCACAGCTTTCCTTTTGGTCTTGCCACAGAAGGAGCAAGTATATTTACCATGCTGGCTAATTTTAATCTTCTTCACCATTTTTCTCAGGGAAGCTCCCTATAGGGTACCACATTTACCCACAATCTCAATCTTCTTGGTTCGTTTGGCCTTCTTGTTACTGCCGCAGGGAGAGAGCACTTTGGTGGCTCTTGAGTTTTCCTGGTAGAGCCAGGGCTCAGATTGGGGTAAAGGTAAAGGGACCCCTGACCATTAGGTCCAGTTGTGGCTGACTCTGGGGTTGCAGTGCTCATCTCGCTTTATTGGCCAAGGGAGCCAGCGTACAGCTTCCGGGTCATGTGGCCAGCATGACTAATCCACTTCTGGCGAACCAGAGCAGCTCACGGAAACGCCGTTTACCTTCCCGCTGGAGTGGTACCTATTTATCTACTTGCACTTTGACGTGCTTTTGAATTGCTAGGTTGGCAGGAGCAGGGACCGAGCAACGGGAGCTCACCCCGTCACGGGGATTCAAACCGCCGACCTTCTGATCAGCAAGTCCTAGGCTCTGTGGTTTAATCCACAGTGCCACCCGCGTCCACGGATGTCTGTAGCCCAGCTTAATGGGTCAATTGTCTTGATTTGGTATACAGCAGATTCCTAAGTTAACTCCTGTGTATCATCTGACTTAGTCCTTAATTTGCTACCATTATATTTATTCAAAAATATTTATATACCCTTTTTACATGTTTTTCTTTTTTCAATGCACACACAATAATAATAAACCTAGCATTAACACTGTTAACGTCATTTTACGGTACATAATCTTAGGGCACTAATGGTCAATGTAGACTCTCCGCAGACGTGTTTGTGAAATTGGTGGGAGAAATTTGCTATCAACTTCTTTTATGTAGGAAAATAAAGGGGACCAGGTTTCATCAAAGGTGTCTTTCTTTTTAACACCTTTTGCTACGCTTCTAAGCCCAGTTAGTCGCTTGAAAATAGTCATGCCCCAGATATTGTTGAACCATACCTCAAGGAGTAAATCAGCCTGGGATTTCCAAAAATACTCTATCACTAAACGTGCAGCCATCAGTTAAAAAAAAAATCTATTATGCAACATCAAATTATAAAGTAGAAGAAAGACAATAAATCAGTACAACGCCATAAAACACTACCACATGTACAATCCAATCTGACAGTTCTGTGTATAGTCAACATTGATCTGAATCGGCATTACTAATGCATGGGTAGTTTAAAAAGAGGATTCAGGGTTAGGCTCCCATTACTACTCATGAAAGCATTGGAAGGGGGAAAGCTCAGTGGCAGAGCACTTGTTTTGCACGCAGGAGGTCCCAGGTTCAACCCCAGACATCTCCAGGTAGGGCTGATAATGTTCCCTGCCTGAAACCCTGGAGAGCTGCTGCCAGGCAATGTAGACATTACTGAGCTGGATGGACCAGCTGACTTATATGGCAGCTTCCTAGGTTTCCACATGCACAGAAAATGTGCCTTTCACACACCTGTCTTTCCTCTGCTTTGCCAACTGGGGTTGGGTAAGAGCAATGTTATTTCTCAGGGCTGCCATTTGATCTCTGCTTTTCCATATATTCAGTTTGCAGTGCAATCCTCATCGTGCCTGCTCAGAAGTCAAGTCCTGTTGCATTCAATAAGGTTTACTCCCAGGTAAATAGTGCTGGATTTCAGCCACAGCCAGATAATTACAGAGTGAAATTCAGCTACATCAGAAACCAGCAGGAGGCAAATGTAGCGTATTCCATATTTTAGCTGGTATTTCTGAGCCCCATTTATTTCATTTCTCTTTTTTAAAAGAATTGTTTACCGAGTGAAGTCTGTCATTCTCATTTAGTTCCAGTCTAAAGTGGGGGTGGATTCATCAAAACTGGGGGGGGGGGGGGAAACATTTTGGTGAATGGAACCAGGTGTTGCAATGAAATGAGCAGTTCAACGAAAATTGCTGGTTTGAGACTGTGTTATGAATTCTTTTTAAAAAACATATCTTCACAGTGGCTCTATTCAGGCATTTAGAGCCTTAGTTAAACAAACACACAGCGGGTGGGGAGTGGGCACCAGCATCCTAGCTTTGCAACCTCCCACCTCAGCCCTGCCACCCTCCATGAATTCAAGGGGACTTATTTGCAGTGAGTAGGCAGTCCCTACAGATGGACCAACCTGGCAGTTTTGGTATCTCTCTGTTTCTTGTTTTTCTAATCTTAAAAGTTCAGTTTTCCACATTTCTGCACCAGGAGTTTTGGTTTTTTTTAAAAAAAAATCCTCATGAAAACTTGCCAGTGTTCTAGTGTGAATTTCTCCTAGCGCTCTTATTTTTGCATTTTCTACCCGAATCACATATTTGCCCTAATATAACATGCAGTTTTGTTATTTTTTCAGTTTTATGCACACTTACCTATAATATGCATTTTTGCACACATGGCTTTGCTGGAGAACTGCACTTCAAAATTCACTGGACTGCAAATCTTACAGAAGAGCACGCCATTCCTCATCAATTGATCTGCTCACTCTATACATTTGTCTTCATGCATTAGGAAATTTAATGCATTTCTCCTTAGTGCAAAGTGAGAACTTGGGGAGGGTCTCTGGTCCCCCATGGCTCAGATGCACACCACCTTGATCTGTGCATTCAATTCTGTGATCACAACTCTGTCTCAAAATCTGCAGGCCCCCATCTTGTTTAACTTTAGATGTTTAATGAAGACCTTTTTCAATTCAGCAGGCATTTTAAGTAAGTTCTACATTTTTTTGTTACCTGCTTTGTTGTTGTTGTTGTTGTTTAGTCGTTTAGTCGTGTCCGACTCTTCATGACCCCCTGGACCAGAGCACGCCAGGCACTCCTGTCTTCCACTGCCTCCCGCAGTTTGGTCAAACTCATGTTCAGGGCTGTCTTTAGCATATGTGCCGCCAGGGTGCAAAGATCCACCCAGCGCCAAATTTAGTTTAGCCCCCAAAGTGGTTGACCTTTTTTTCTGGAAAAAGTTGCCAGAGTTGTTTACCTTTAAGAAGAGGACGGTTGCGGGATGAAGGGGCAGCACTGACAACAGCAACAAAACCCAATGCTCAGAGTGCGAGCTGCCAGAGGCTAAGTCTGCAAAGGAGCCTGCTGCTCGCTGTGCCAAAACCACAATGTCATACAGTGCTCAGGGCGCAGTGTGCACAGGCCAAAACAAGGTGGACACACCACCCTACAGCTGGCGGGGGTTGGGGGAGGCAGTGCAGAGCCTGTGCCGCCCGCCATTTTGTCACATCCCCTGGCTGGCATCCCATCCACCAAAATGTTAACCTGGTTTGCCTAAGCTGCTAAAACTACTAAGGCGCTGGGGTGGGAAGATGTGGGGCTGGGTGGGAGAGAGATAACACTCTCTCCCGCTATCAGTTACACCCGAGTTTTCTTTGCTGCAGGATATTTGTTGAAGGATCTGTCTGGTTGGATTTTGCAACATTACAAAGAAAGGCCTCTCTCCACCTCTCTCCTCCCCACCCAGCTCGCTCCTCACCATTCAATTCACCCTCACCCTGATCTTTCTCCTCTTGCTTTTTCTATATTTCCCCTATCCTTTTCTCACTCTAACCTGCCACCACCCCACCCTTTTCTCTCACGCCCCCATCAGCCTCGACCCCCGGAACGCAAGACACTCCCTTGCAATCCACTGAATAACTTAGCCAGAGAGAGGGGGGGGGGAGTCAGTTTATTTATTTATATGTCTTTCCCATTCCCCCTCCCCCTCCCGGCGCCTGTTTCGTCTGCCTCGTGCTCTCTCTGGGTTTTTTAAGTGTGGGGAGGGAGGGAGAGAGGGGACTCCCGGTCCAAAAAACACAGTTAGGTGGAAAGAGGTGTATGTATATACAAAATTTGGGGCGGGGGGTATCAGTCTTGTTTCGGAAAAGGCTCTCCCCCATTTTTTGCTCTTTCTGGTGATGGAATAGGGAAGCCGTGGAGGGGAGGGGTGGGCTTGCTGAAGCTGAGCCTTAGCTAGAGGGAGGAGAGAAAGTCAAAAGTCGCACTCGCCGCACTTGCTGACACCCAGAGAGAATGCAGGAATCCTGTGGCTCGCTCCCTCGCCCACCTCTGCCTTGCCAAGCCCAGCAAAGCAGGGTGGCGAGGCTGGGGGGGGTGGAGGAGAGAGGGAGGGGCGGGACCGCACAGGTGGAAAAAGAGGTGGTTGTTGGGAGGAGATAACGGCGGCAGGTCTGGCCCCGCTACCCTGCCCGGGGAGGTGGGGACGGGGACTTAGGTGGCTTCAGTTGCGGGTGCCTGGCACCCCCCCAGAATTCGGCACCTGGGTGCCCCGCACCCCTTGCACCCCCAGGTAAAGACGGCCCTGCTCATGTTGGTAGCTTTGAGAACGCTGTCTGTCAGGGAACTGCCATCGGTTCAGGAGGGAGAGAGGAAAAGCCGAATGGATTATAGAGAACCCCCAGGGATCGTGGGGAGCAGTTCCTCTTCAAGGGAGGAGAGTAAACACATCTCCAGTGGAGAGGAGCTGCAGGAGTCGGAAGTGGTGAGGCGGTCCCAGGACTCCGTGCCTGGGAGAAGCGGGGAAGAGAGGGGTCCTCCGCCACCCACGTCCTGCTTGCGCAGGAAGCATTCGCACAGAGAGGGGAGGCGCAGACTTGGCGTCAAGAAGTTGCTTTGCTGGGGAAAGTTTAAGAACTGCCCACTCACGGATTCTGCCAGCTATTGAGCCAGCCACGGGAGAGTGGGGCTCCGGACAGATAAGGTTTAGTTTGGCAGCAAAAGCAAGGCTTCACAGCCAAGCAGGGAAATATTTGCTTGCTTACTCTCAAGCAACCCCTTGGAAACATTACACTGTCCAACTATCTTGCCCTCTGTCGTCCCCTTCTCCTTGTGCCCTCAATCTTTCCCAACATCAGGGTCTGAAGTATAAATATAAATATTTGGTATATATACCAAAGTATAAATATTGGAAATAACTAAATAAAATAAACAGTTCTAATACACATTGGCAGCCAGTGAGGGGAGCTGCAGTAAATGTGGGATCTCAGTTTTGGGTGGTAGCCACGTATTTAGTGCAATGCCTATTTTGGCTCTGGTTTTGGCTTGGCCTACCCACAAAGCACAGTGAGATGGTAGACCCATGAAATGGTAGGATGGATTGTACCACTTCAGGCTGGTGCCCCAAGTTCCCTGAAAATGGAAAGCTAGCACAATAAAGAATAGGATAGGCTAGAAGTTATACCCTTGATGGGCTAGTTCATTCATCCTGGTTTTGGCTCCTGGAAAACTTGCTATCTTCATTGCAGGCCTTTTCCACCTGACCTGGGAGGGCGGGGCCCTGGCTGACTCCAGCTACAAAAGCAGAAGCTGCTGAACAAACTCTTAGGTTAGGATGTTGGGGCGGGGTGTTGTTTGTTGGAGGGGGGGTTGTTGCTGTTGTTGTTGCTGTTGGTTTTCTGTATCTTTATTTTAGATTTTGTGATTTATGTGAAAATTATTCAGTTTGGTTCTGTTTTTTATGTTTAGGACTGCTTTTGTTATGTTGCAGTTGCATATTGTTTTCATGTTGTAAGCCACCTTGAGCATGGTTGGAACTGTGGAAAGGGGTCATACAAGTAAAATTATGTATGTATGCATGCATGCATCACTCACAGGGAAGTATTTCCTTTTCTAAAAGCATGTTAAAAACTTCAGCCCCATACACCTGGAGTCCAAAATGGTACAGTCATTTTGCTACCTTAGTACTCTACCACTTCATACTGCTGCATGTGTAGAGACCAGACCGTTCTTGTAAACAATGGGCTGGTTCGGGGCTTCAGAACCTTTGGCCCGTCCAGATGTTGCAGGACTGCAGCTCCCATGAACCCTGGCCAGCATGGCTAATGAATTCTGGATTCTGGGAGTTGTAGTCCGGCAACATCTGGAGGGCCAAAGGCTCCCAATCCCTGACTGGTTGAAATAACTAACTTTCCTGAATGGAGGGGAGTGCCCAATGTATTCGCACTGGGAACGTGAAAGAACAAAGTGGCAGTCAGCATGCATTCCTTAAGTTTGCAAAACTGCAAGGCTCTTGTGTTGAATAAGCAAAATGCATTTTTAAGGTAACATCTAAGAAAAGTGTTGTCTTTTCTAATTGCTGTTATTCCCGTTCTATACCCTTTTGTCTAGCTTCACCATCAGGATTCTTAGTGGGCTTTTTACTTTTTATTTTCTGTATGCTCTCATCCATGAATGCTAAGATTCAGCACAATACCTTTCTCTATATCCTACACAAAACCCAGGGAAACCTTTACATTTTATCCCTGCTTTATGGAGGTTTTTTGAAAGCCACTGCCGCCGAAAGTGTCTTTATTTAATTGAATCTACCCACAAAAACAGAGATTTT